CTAATTCAAAGGTATATATGCACCCTGACGTTTATAGCAGCATTGTATATAATAACCAAATTATGGAAACAGCCCAACTGTCCATCAACTGATGAATGGATAAAGAAAATCTGGTATATAGAGAATGGAATATTATTCAGCCATAAAAAGAATGAAATCTTGCCACGTGCAATGACAGGGATGGAGCTAGAAAGAATCATGCTAAGCAAAATAAGTCAGTCATAGAAAGACAAATACCAACGATTTCACTCATATGTGGAATTTAAGAAACAAAACAAATGAGCAAAGGGGAAAAAGAGGGAGGCAAACCAAGAAACAGACTCTTAACTATAGAGAACAAACTGCTGGTTACTAGAAGGGAGGCAGGTGGAGGGATGGGTAAAACAGAGGGGTATTAAGGAGTGCACTTGCTATGGTGAGCACCTGATGTTGTACGGAAATGCTGAATCACTATATTGTATACTTGAAACTAATATTACACTGTATGTACACTAACGAAATGGAATTTAAATAAAAACTTCTAAAAAGTCAAGGTTTTTCTTCTTAGAGAGACACAAGATGATGCTAAAAGTCACATTTCTAAAAATGCAAAGGGGCACCTGGGTGGCTCAGTAGGTTAAGTGTCTGTCTCCAGTTCAGGTAATGATCCCAGGGTCCTGAGATTGAGTCTTGCATCGGGCTCACTGCTCAGTGGGGAATCCGCTTCTCCTTCTCCCTCTGCCTCTCCACGTTTGCTCCCTTTCCCTCTCTCTCTCTCTCAAATAAATAAAATCTCTTAAAAAAATGTAAGAATAGCTAGGAAATTCCTGAAAAAATTAACTGTCATGGAAAGTAGCCTATCAAATATTAAAATAAGCTCATGGGGCACCTGGGTGGTACACTTGGTTAAGCTTCCGACTCTTGGTTTTGGCTCAGGTGTGATCTCACTGTGGTGAGGTTGAGCCCCACATGGGGATCCCCACTAAGCAGGAAGTCTGCCTGAGATTTTTCTCTCTGTGTGCACTCTTGTTCTCTCTTTAAAATAAATAAGTAAATCTTTTATTTATACACACACACACACACACACACACACACACTCGTAAGTGTCTATAATTCATTGTGGTACTGGTACATAAATTATAGGTCAGTGGAATGTAACAAAATCCAGAAGTTGACCCACTCTTTATGGAAATTTAGTGTATAATAAAGGTAGTATTTTTTAAAAAGATTTTGTTTATTTATTTATTTGACAGAGAGAGAGAGATCACAAGTAGGCAGAGAGGCAGGCAGAGAGTGAGGGGGAAGCAGGCTTCCCACTGAGCAGAGAGCCCGATGCAGGACCCTGAGATCATGACCTGAGCTGAAGGCAGAAGCTTAACCCACTGAGCCACCCAGGCGCCCATAAAGGTAGTATTTTGAATGGGGTGTGGGAGGGCAAAGGTTGATGTTTTAGTCAATGTTGCTGGGATAATTGGATAGATACTTGGAAAAAGATGAAATTAAATCTGTTCCTCACACTATATACAATCCTGTCTGCCCTTCAGAGTTTACATTCTAAAGTGGGCTGGGGGAGACAATAAAGTAAATAAATTACACGTATAATAAAAAATGTTAAGTGCTAGGAGAAAGGTACATGATGAAGGAGAATAGGGTAAGAGAAAGTAAGGTTCAAAGTTTGCATTTACAATATTTAAAAGTAGGTAGGGGCAGAAAAGTCCTCACTGATATGAATACTAGCATTTGAATGAAGACTTGATAACATGGCGCAAGCCAGGTACATAGACTTCATTCCAAACTAGGTAAGAGCAGAAAATTACAAGCCAATCTCACTCATGAAAATTGACACAAAATGCTGTATAAACCAAATATAGCAACGTGCTCACAAAATTAATGCATCATGATCAACTTGGGTTTATCACAGGAATGTAGGTTTGGTTTAACACTAGAAAAACATATAAATCTTATTCACCACATCAACAAAATAAAGAGAAAAGATCATTTTGATATAAAAATAATTAAATAAAATGCAGCACTCATTCATGATTTAAAACAGAATAACAGAACAAACATAGCAAACAAAAAACTTAACCGAATCACAAATAGAAGCTACATTTGCAAAAAGAGCAACTATCTACATACAGCATCATCATTGTTAGTAGAAACCTTAGAAACATGATCTTTAAAATAGGAAAGAATGTTCAATATTGATGCTTCTACTCATCTCTAAACATTCTCATGAGTACAGTCAGAAAAGAAAGAAAAAAAAAAGCCTAAGAATTAGAAACAAAAATGTCATTATTCACAGATGATATGATTATACCGTCTCAGCCTCCACAAATTATTATATCCAGCTGGGTATAAGAATAAGATCAATATCAGAAATCAACTGGATTTTTATATACCAGCAATCAGAAAAAAAAACAATATAATTTATAAATAAATCTGATAACAGTGAAACCCCTGTACACAGAAAAAAAGGACTAACTTTATTGACTGATACTAAAGAAGTTCTAAATAAATGGAAAATATGCTATATTCAAGACTAAGAAGACTTCATTTCCTCAAACTGAGCTCTGGATTCAGTGCAATTCCAATCAAAATCCAAGAGGTTTTTTTTCATGGAACTTAGAAAACAGTTTCTAAAATTTACATGAAAAGAAAAAGTTCAAAAATACACAGAATACTCCTGAAGAAAATAAGGTATGAGACTTGCCCTATTAAATACTAAAGATAGCGCAACCCCATCGGTCCCCTCCCTCTTTGGGAGCTTTGTACTGTCACTTTGCCATTGCTCAATAAACCTTGCTTTGCTGCGCCCCCCCCCCAAAAAAAGGATACCAAAGATATAATAAGGCTGGAATGATGAAAACTATGGTTTTGGCACAGGGACATGCAGACTGGCCAGTGGAATATGTTAAAGAAGCAAACTCAAAAACATGTAGAAACATCATACGAAGGAACATAGAGCTGTTATAGGGAAAGCACGAACTATTCAAGAAATTGGGTTCCATACAAGGCAAAAAAAAGTAACTGGATCCTACCTTGACACCAAGCACAAAAATCGATTCTAGATTAACAAAGACTTAAAAAATAAAAAACAAAACCTTAAAACCTTTATATTTTTATGACTTCAGAATAAAGATGTTTCTTTGAAAACATACAGGAAAAGTCATAAAGATTAGTATCCAGCATACATAAAGGCTTACAAATCAACAAAAACCCCCAAATAGGTATTTCAAGGAAAAGAAAATGCAAATAGCCAATAAGCATAATAAGAGTTTAATCTTCTGAGTGACTGGAGAAATATAAAGCACACCCAAAGTAGTATCATTTTATACCCTATAGAATGGCAAAATTAAGAATATACTAAACAGGGGCACCTGCATGTCTCAGTGGGTTAAAGCCTCTACCTTCGGTTCAGGTTCTGATCCCAGGGTCCTAGGATCGAGGCCCGCATCGGGCTCTCTGCTCGGTGGGGAGCCTGCTTCTCTCTCTGCCTGCCTCTTTGCCTTGTGATCTCTCTCTCTGTCAAACAAATAAATAAAATCTTTAAAAAAAAAAAAAAAAAAAGAATAGACTAAACAATGAGAACTCACTCTGTTGGTGGGGACTAAATTGGAAACAAGTTCACTTACTTATTATCATCCAGTTTATGACCTAGCAACTTCACACCTAGATTCTCTGCAAAAGCTAATTTAGCACATATGCATGAGATCAGAATTTCATATCGGCATTGTTTATATAGGCTATGCTCTGAAAACAACCCACACGTGCACGGCCAGGAAAATCAATGAATAAATTGTGGAAAGGAGGAACAATAAAATATTATATGGCAGTGAACATGAAAGAACTATGGCTATACCTGATAATATAGATTTTCTTAGTGACGGGTTAAGTAAAAAGCGAGTGGAAGGATATTACAAAGAATATGGTACATTTTTTTTGGTGGGGGGGTACCATCCACGCACAAAAACAAAGCAAGGTTAAGGATACTTGTATGCGGAAACAAAACTTAGAAAATGTGAGAGACGATGATTTACACAGAATTCAGGATAAGTGAGAAAATATCTCTGACCGGGGAATTGGGGGCGGGAAAAGTAATGGGATGGAAGGGATTTCCTGACAAAATGCCAAGAGTTCTTCTGGTAAAATTCTGCTTCACAAATTAGGACGTGTTCCTCGTGTTTCGTAACTTTATATTCTGCACTTTTCAAGTACTATACACGTTTAAAAAAACAAACAAACAAAAACGAGGCAGGTACATACCTCAAGAGCCCTAATACCCACAGGCCACAGCCCGCAAGGCACTCTGGGTAAGCAGTCTAGTGGTCAGTTGCCCGTAGGGGCGGAGACTGTGGGTCTTCTATACGCACGCGCACAGCCACCAGCCAATCAGCGACGCTCTCGGGCGAGGCGGCTCTGGCTTTTCTCCCGCGGGAATTCTGAGTTGCCTCAGAGGAGCGTCGTGCTGGCCAAGCTGACAGGCACCTCAGGTGAGGGGCTGGGGCCATGGAGGCTGGAGTGGCAGCGACACTGTCTGGAGACCTATACCTGTGGTCTTTGGCCATTGGGGTTTTTTTCATGCGGGAGGAGGGGAGGATTTTTTCTAGCGCGGGCAACCGAGCTAGAGGCTTTTCTGGATCTGTGAGGTAAATCTTTCCGACTGGCTCTACTAGGGGCCTCTGACAGAAAAATGAAGTCAGTGAACTTCACTGAGCGCAGGGCCTGGATCAGGCGAGGGGCAGGTGGAAAGCTGCGGGATGAAAGGGAGTCTCACTGGTCGCGATGCTTTGGGCAAGTTTATATCCAGGGAGCAGAGTGGGCCTTCGTCTGTCTGCACATCTCTCCCTCGCGCCCGCCCTAAACCTGTCAGAAACAGGGTGAACTAAGGGCTTCTCTTCCTTTGTCCTCAATGTCTGTGTTGTGAACATCTTAGGCGGAATTGTTATTTCTCAAGGCACACATTGCAGAACGTTTTTATCTTATTTTTATTTTGCTGTAAACTTATTTTGGGGCATGATCACAGGATCGAACCTGTCAACAACTACGGTTTCACTTTGTGACGGAAATGCACAAACTAGATTCTTGCCCGAATTTAGCCGGAATCTGACAGAGGCGGGACTGAAATTCAGATCGTGTAGCCCTCAGATACCAACTCTCCGTCGCCTCACACCTGGAATCAGGGTCGATGCTGTCATTATCTTCTTTGTTAATTTGGGCCAACAAAATAAGTGAGGAGATTCCTCTTTATTTGATATAGTTAATTATGAAATTTACCAGTTTACTTAAATGGTGTCTTTGGATTCAGAAGGTTTGAGATTTTTTTTTTTTTTTAAATCAGAAAACATCTAAATATGGTGCCTTCTGGAAGAAAACATGCAGGGAAATCTGGGAAGACATCAATGGAGGATCAGGTTGTAAGAGCCTTTGACTTTGAGAAGGAAGATAAAAAAGATCTGAGTGGTTCAGAGGAGGATGTTACCGAAGGTACAGTATATCTAATGTTGATGTTGTTGGGCAGTGACCCTGTCCTGTAGTTCATTCCTTCCGGATGCACTACATTTTAGACTATAATAAAACTTTATTCATGTACTTCATGTTTCTCATTTGGAGCTTGAAAAGTTTACACAGCATCTCTTTCCTTTACAGTCATTATTCTCCAGATGTCTGTTTGTAAATAAATAAATGAGTTTTATATAGCATAAATATCTGTATTATATAAAAATAAATAAAAACCTGGCTTACTATGACATTAACACAGGAAGGCTTGCAAAATTGTTCCTATAAAATGGTCCTAGATCCTGATTTAATCCTATCTAAACTGCAGAGCAAGTACTGTATTTATATGTCTGCTTTAAAAAGTTACGTTGGCAGAAAAACCTGAAAGCCTCCAAATTAAGATAGTTCATCATTAAAAATTACCAAAATGGAATAGTTTCAAAAATATTTTTCTTTTTTATTGTCAATGCAGGGAAGACTCCAGTAATTGAGAAGCATGGGAAGAAAAGGACTTCTGCAGCAGTGTTTGAAGATATGGGGTGATGTGCTCAAAATAATTTTTGCGTGTTACATAAACTAAGAAAAGTCTACTTTGGTTGTCCAATGAATATTGTATGTAAAACACATTGTGTGATATTTCAATCCTTAATTAAAAAATTTCTAATGTAATTTCACAGGGGTGAAGTACAAAATATGCTGGAAAGATTTGGAGGTATGTTTTAAGAGATATTTTTCTTTTAAGATAATTATTTTAAACCGTGTAACATATAACCTCTGTAATAGGAAATGTTAATCAGTGAACTATAAGATTGTTAATCTAATGCTTGTCCTCATATATAAGATTTTCCCTAAGTATGTGTGATTCAACTATATAGATTTCCTTACCTAATCTCCAGTTGTCAATGCGAAGAGTAAGAATGGTATTAACAATGGTGAGGTAAGAATGGTGTTTTTATTTTATTATGTGTGAATTTAATGGACTGTGCAATTTTAGAACAAAAATGGAAGGGGAAAGTCTCTACTCCTGTTTATATGAACTTCCACAAACTCACAAAGCAAGTGTTAAAAACACACATATCAGTATATATGTCAGTTTTTCATTTTCTCAATTTAGTTATTTTCTATGACATTGCTGTGTTCTTTTCTTAGGAGCAGTGTAAACTGAACCCTTTAAAATACCTCTTTATTGTTATTTTTTACTTTATTAAACTATGTCATTTAGAAAGGTAACCCTGCTAGCTAGTGAGAAATATATAATCAGATAAAAAGTTTATAAACCTTAAATGGTATATTTAATATTAGTTACATTAACTGTGTTAGGGGATAGTCTTCTTTTTTTTAAAAGATTTTATTTATTTGAGAGAGAGAGAGAGAGAGAGCGCGAGCGTGCGCGCATGTGCGCGCATGCATGAGCCAGGGGAAGGGCCACAGGGAGAGGGAGAGAGAAGCAGACTCCCTGCCGAGCAGGAAGCCCAACACAGTGTGGCCTAGATCCCAGGTCCTGGAGATTGACCTAAGCCAAAGGGGACATTTAACCAACTGAGCATCCAGGTGCCCCCAGGGAATAGTATTCTTAAAAAAGAACAATATTTGGTTCCTCTATATGGATTATGTACTCAGTCAAGTCTTTTTTGAAAGCATTGCTCTATTTGGTGGTAGAAAAATGTTTGTTTTATAATCTGTCTTCTAAATTTATCATAGGTATATACTGGAAATATGAAATATTTGTATAATAATACAGATCCATCATGATTACTAAAAAAAAAATTATTGATGGTAGATTCATATGCAAGTATTTAGCAAACCAGTTTTATAGGACGAAAATGTCTTATAAAAAGCTCCAGAAATCATTGTCATAAACCTGAAACTAATCTATAATATTGTGTGTCAACTATACTTCAGTAAGAAAAAAATTTTCTTTTAGTAAGTCCAGGGGAAAAAAAGATTCCATGGAAATATTTAAAAGGGTACTTGAGTGAATTTATCAAGATACTTACTTAAATTAAGGTTTTTCTATGCTTGGTTTTTATCTCTTTTGGTAAAAATTATATTTGAAAGTATCACAGATTATATTTTTTAAAAAATAATTTTCTTAACTGTTTTTATCCTTTTTGGATTCTTTTTAGATTTTTAAATTTATTTATTTGTATGAGAGAGAGAACAAAAGGGGAAGGGAATATGGCAGAAAGAGAAACAGACACCCCACTTAGCAGGGAGCTGTGATGCAGGACTCCATCCCAGAACCCTGTGATCATGACCTGAGCCCAAGGCAGACACTTGACTGAGCCACTGTCCCTTTTTGTATTCTTTTAAAATTTGTGTGTTTCATATGATGAGTTCTAGCAATAACTCATATAAATGAGTTCTTTCAGTTAGAGAATATTTTACGAATTCAGAAAAATTTAGCCTTTATTAGTGTTTTCTCCTGAGGAAGTTAAAGGTCTGTCTTTGAGACTCCCCTTTCTTTTTTCATGTTTAGTTTTTTTTCAATCATCTCTAAATTAAAAAATTAGCTCTAGGAAAATCAAAATAGGGATACTAATTGCCGAAAGTTTTCTTAGGAAAAAAAGCAAATAATCTTGGCTTTTTAATATTATACCTACTTTAAGATTTAATTTATTTTTTTTTTTAAGATTTAATTTATTTGTCAGAGAAAGAGAGAGATTGAGAGAGAGAGCACAAGCAGGGAGAGCAGCAGGCAGAGGGAGAGGCAGTCCCCCTGATTAGCAAGGAGCCTTAATACAGGACTCAATCCCAGGATCATGACCTGAGCTGAACGCAGAGGTTTAACCTACTGAGCCACCCAGGCATCCCTAAGATTTATTTTTAAATGTCTTTCCAAAACTGTTGAACCACCTATATCTCTATTTAATTTAAATATGTGGGAACAAAATAATTTTCAATATTAAGCTGTAATGAATGTTTATTTTCAATAAAGCTGACATTAACAAGGCTCTTCTTGCCAAGAGAAAAAGACTAGAATTGTATACCAAAGCTTCTCTCAAAACTAGTAACCAGAAAATTGAACATGTTTGGAAAACCCAGCAAGAGCAAAGGTAAGGTTGTTGGTTTTTTCACAGCCATGACATTGTATCATTTCTTAGTATTCATTGCTGCAAATTATGAAAAATACTGTCATCTTCTATTTGCCAGGGTCTCTAGTAAAAAATATATTTGGCTTGATTTTCCTTTAAGTCCTTTAGTTCTATAACCTTCTTCATAGACTTGAGATATATTTCTTAGAAATCAATGCAGGTTATCTTTTCCTCCATTTAAATAACAACTGAGTTTTTTAAAGGTTATTCATATTCATTCTAGAAATACGCCAACTGAATAAAAATTGTCATATAAATTATTAGCCTTATGAGAGTTACCTATTTAACAATGTAGAAAAAGATCCATCTTAATGTAAATACTACATCTGTGTGTTTTAGGTGAATTGACTTAATTGTTCTTTTTTACAAAATCATTCTTGTACCAAAATGGGGAAAAATTAAGTGGAATATTTCTATTTGGAAATCTTACATGATAAACATAACTTCACTGAATCTATTTATCATATCAGAACCTATATTTGGTTGGCAAAAATAAAAAAACTTCTTGGAGATGAAATGGAACTTTCTGGAAAAATTATGCATATAGTAAAACTTTCATAGTTTTTAAGAACTGAATCATGTGAGAGGGCTTTTCTGTTAGCTGGTTAGAAAAAGAATACTTTCAAAATCATAAAATTTTACTTTTTGGCTTCATATTTGAAAATTTAAGATGCCATTATTTCCTTCTGTAGTACTTATAAAGTATGTCAAATTTTGTTTTGAATGTTTTGGTATAAAATATGAAAAATTCACTGTTATGTTTTACAGGCAGAAGCTTAACCAAGAATATTCTCAGCAATTTCTGACTTTGTTTCAGCAGTGGGATATAGATGTGCAGAAAGCTGAGGAACAAGAAGAAAAACTAGCTGTTAGTATCATGCTTAATTTTATAATCGATTACAACCAAGTGTCAAGTAGAAATGGAGAGCCTAGCTATGTGGTAGATCTGTGATAGCTTGGTTTCATTTCCCATGCTGGCTATGTGTTTTATTCCTGCTGAATGGTAAGCCAGAGAATTACGGGCACATACCCTACTTACAAAAGCTGTTGGCCTTTGCTTCCAATATTGGTTGTGATTCTTGCAGTTCCAAAGTGACGGAAATTGTGAGAGTACAAAGGAAGGATTATTAGTTTATACAAAAGGAGTCCAGGGGTAGTTTAGCTTCAGGCATAGCTGAATGGGTGTAAGGAAGCACTGCTTATATAGTGTCTTTGGGCTCTGTCTCCAGTCCGTAATAGGCCCTTTCAATATGGTAAGCAAGATAGCTTCTTGCAATTTAAACTTGCTACGAGCTTGGTAACTGGTTTTTTATCAAAAACTGGCAGAAAGAAAAGTCCTGTGGAGGAATATCACTGATCTAGTTTGGATCATTTGCCCATTCCTGAACCAGTCATTATGGTCAAACCATGGTTTATTCTTAATGGCCAGACTTGAGTTTCATGCCCATCTCTATGGGAGGTGGAAGTGAGCCCCACCCATATATATGCAACTACATTAACTATCCTTTTATTTCATTAATTTATTAACTTATCACACATTTCTTATTTAAGAGCTCAGGTAACTATTCATATTAGATGATTTTAGGGGTTGTTTGGTCACCTCAGTTTTGGAAATGTTAATATGAAACATCCAAGGGGATGTGTTGAGTAGGCCATTGGTATAGGTGTCTGGAGTTCTGGAAAGAGATATGAATTGAACATACAAAGTTGGGAATTCTCAACATAAAGACAGCATTTAAGGCATGAGTTTGGACGAGATCACCAAGTGAGTGATTGTAAATGTAAAAGGAGGTCTAAGGACTGAGCTCTGGAATAAGTACTTCAATGTTTAGAGTTCAAGAAGATGAGAGAGAACCAGTAAAAGAGACTGAGAATGAGTGGCCTATAATAGGTGGGGGATAAAATGACTCCAAGTGAAGTCAAGAAAGCCTTTTAAGAGGGAGAGAGGATTAGCTTTGTCATATGCTCCTTATGGGTGAAATAGGAGGGGATTTGGCAATGTGAAGGTTGTTGGTGTTCTTAAGCAGAATTATTTTGGTAGAAAAGGGAGTGCAAAAACTTGATTAGAATGCATGTAAGAGGGGCGCCTGGGTGGCTCAGTGGGTTAAACCTCTGCCTTCGGCTCAGGTCATGATCTCAGGGTCCTGCGATCAAGCCCTGTATCAGGCTCTCTGCTCAGCAGGGAGCCTGCTCCCCGCCCCCCCACCTGCCTCTCTGCCTACTTGTGATCTATCAAATAAACAAAAATCTTAAAAAAAAAGAATGCATGTAAGAGAGAATAGGAAAGAAACAGAGTTGTTGGCCTGAGTAGAAAAGGAATAATGTGTGGTTTTAAGAATGGAGAAAGAGCAACAGGTTTGTGTGCAACAAGAATAATCTTGAGCGAAAAATAAAAAGTAATGGAAAGAGGAGGACAGTTGTTGAATTCTTAAGAATGGTTGGAGCATGTGAAGAAATTGGTGGTAGCAGAGAACAGGGATAGTTCATCCTTAAAAACAGAAGAAGGTGGAGTATGTGAGCACAAGTGTAGGTGCATAGGTAGAAATAGTGATAGATACTCAAAGTTCTCTTTGGATTACTTATATTTCTCTAGTGAAATAATTAAGGTCCTTGGATGATAGAAAACATGTTGCTTTTTGAGGTCAAATGAGAAGGTATAAAATACTTTCCTGAGCGGATCAGCAAATGGACTAGGGAAATAAAATTTCCAAGCAGCATTAAGGATCAAATTTAGGCTTGTGATCACAGTGATCATAATTTAAAGTGAGGCGTGTCAGCATAATTGTGGGGTTTTCTCCAGTCATGAGCAGCTGCAGGGATGTAGGCAGAATAGCTGGAGCATTGAATTTTTCAGGATTGGGGTTTGGCCAAACAAGTGTGACAGAGTAAAAATTGGGCAGGATATATATACTCCTTTCATTTGAAAGGAGTAATTATGATTGACCATCTAATTTAAGCTTGGAAGGAAGAAAGTGAGGACATAGGAATATGGATAGGGGATAGTGAAAACTAGGTATAGGATGAGTGAATTTTACGTATTGATAGAAATTATTGAGTTGTAGTACTAAGAGTGTACCAAGTACTAAGTATGAAGAGTACTTGGTAAGCAAGTAGTGGTTGGATAGTGGGCTATATGGAGAAACAGCATGAATAATGATTAGATCTGGATTCTGGAAACATACTCTGGAATTATCCTGGTATGACCAAACACTGGCTGTAAAACTGGAAAAATTATCTATGTGCCTCACTTTCTTTATCTATGAAAGGGGAGTAATAATACCTATCTCATAGAGTTGTTTTAAGGATGAAATTAGTTCATACATAATATGTTAAAGAGTTCAGAGTGTTATCTAACAGAGTTAATATGACATCTTCTACTATTAGTACTATGTAGAAGTTGTAGTTACTGGCAATGACAAAATCTAGGATATAAGCAAGTATGTGAATGGCTGAAGTAGGGTGGGGGACAAAAACCATTGGTGGAAAGTAGGAACTGAAACATCAGCATTATTGGAAGGTTCATTATGTGTTGATATGGAAAGCACCAAGAATTAAAACATATTTTGAGTATTGTTGGGTTGCCTGGGTGGCTCAGTCAGGTAAGCGTCCGACTCTTCTTTTTTTGGGGAGGGTGTAAGACTATTTATTTGTCAGAGAGTGAGCAAGAAAGCACAAGCAGGGGCAGATGCAGGCAGAGATGCAGGCAGAGAGGGAGAAGTAGACTCCCTGCTGAGCAAGGAGCCCAATGCAGGACTCCATTCAAGGACCCTGGGATCATGACCCAGGCTGAAGGCCATCACTTAACCAACTGAGCCACTCAGGTGTCCCTAAGCATCTAACTCTCGATGTCAGGGTTGTGAGTTCACATGGAGCCTACATTTAAAAACAAAACCAAAACAGCGTATCTTGAGTATTGTTAAGTGTTCCTACTCAGTGACTGGTAGGATTATTACTGTTGTGTATTAGTGGTGAACTTGGTCATAATAGTTAAAACTGTTCACTTATAAACCATTCCTTTTAAGTTTAATGTAGAATTATTTTTTTACTAAATTTTAAATTATACCGAAATTGTTATAATTTTTTTCTTTTACATTTGTAGAACATGTTTCGACAGCAACAAAAGGTTTTTCAACAATCTAGAATTGTTCAGAGCCAGAGACTGAAAACAATTAGACAGTTATATGAGCAGTTCATAAAGGTCTGTTGTATTTGGTTATGTAATACCTTCTTATATAACATTATATTAGAAGTAGAAGATAATTTTTTCTTTTTAAGGGGAAAACCATTTTGCTTACACATTTTAAATTCTTAACTACTTTCCATTTTGATTTAAGTGTTGAATATATTTTTACAATTCTAATGTTTTTATGGGGAGTCTTCAAACAGGAAATGGTAAATTGGGAATTTTACCTAAATGTACATAATGTGCATAAAATTCATACTTTAATAGTCCTATCTTAACTGAAAATAGAAAGTCTGTAAGTCATTTCTAGGTAGTCTTTTACTTGTCTTTGTATCTCTAGTGTTTGCTAAATAGAAAGTACCCAATTGAAAATGAAGAATTTTTTATTTTCTAATGTAATATATATGTATTTTATGGCATATTTCATTTTAGGATTATTACAGTGACTAAACATGGCTTTATATGGCATCTTATAATCATAAAGCCAGATGATTAAAAACTTGTGGATTAAGAATTATCTGACATATTTTAGCAAATATTAACATATTAGCAAATAACGGTTTGTGGCATTGACCTCTTACTCATGCAGATATATTATTTTTTAGTAACTGTTCATAGGAGTTCATTGTAATCCTACACATACTTTTTTCTTTCTCTTTTTTTGATGTGGAGATTCTTTTAGATAATCTTGTTCAAATGTTAAAATGTCACCCTTTTAAAAGAATCAGGATGCTCTGAGTAAACTAGTAGTTTTAGACCAATTATTTTTAAAGAACTTTTAATATGTATTTATACCGAAGTTACTTTTAAAAGTGTTCCCAGTCAGCTTGCTCTAAGGCTGCCTAAAAACCATTTAATTGGTGTTAAGACTGATGAAATACTAAAGATTTCTTCTAAACCTTATCACTAAATGTTACCACTTAGGCTAGGAACTTTAGTATTGTATTTGACTTCTCCATCTCCCTTATTCTTCATACCCAGTTATTAGTAGGTCCAGTAATTTTTACTTCTGCTGTGGTTCCTTTTTTTAATTCCCAGAGCTATTTTCCTAGTTTATAACCACATCATTCTTTGCTTATCCTGTTAAACCTCAGCTGATTTTTTTCTGTTCTCCAAACTACCCTTCATAGGTCTGTCATATTACTTTCCTAAAATGTCTCTTTTGAAAAAGTCAGTTTCTCATTTAAGTTCCCTCTCATAATATGATTTTCTCTATGCTTCAATTGTTACATTTGTCCGGTAATCCTCACACCTCCAGATAACTGCTTTCTCTAAAATCACTGTGTACTTCCATGCTTTTACTTATGGTCTTGCTCTAAAATACTTTTAATTACTTTTTCTTTATTAAATCTTGCTCTTTTGCCAAATAAATTGGGAGTTAGTCCCTATTTTCTACTACATAGCTACAAGCTGCATTTCCATTCCTACTATAAAATTTTGCATTATTTTTGTTTCTCCTTACTGGAATAAGGGAGTGATCATGTATTAATATTTTTATTTTCTCCACAACACTTAATAATATAATACTTTTTATATAGTAGGAGTTAGGATCACTATTTGTTAGGTGAAAAAGATTTATAATGTAGTTTGTTTTTCATAAATTGAAAAGAGGTATATTACAGATCATTTTATTTCTCCTTATGAATTCCCATCGCACTATTAGTAATAATAACGTAACTACCTGATATTTAGAAAGCTTACTAAAAATTTTAAAAATTAAGGTATTCTTTTTTTGTTCTATTTTGACCTTAGCAGCTCATTAACCCAATATTTCAAGCAAAATACACTACTGTTATACCTCCTATAATAATATTTGATCCATGTCTGATGCTTTTATTCCTTTAATGGGTATTTTAGTTTCCAGTATTACTCTGAATATTTTCATTTGGAATAAATAATGCACATTATTTGAATACTAAAAAGTTCCTACTTTTGAAAATTAATTCTACAAGTTTAGAATCTGAGATGAAAAATGGTAGTTTGTAACTGAACTAGCCTTTTGTGTTTTAGAGTATGGAGGACTTGGAGAAGAATCACGATAGTCTACTTACTGGTGCACAAAATGAACTTAGAAAAGAAATGGCTATGTTGCAAAAAAAAATTATGATGGAAACTGTAAGTCATTACATTTTGAATTGAAAAAAAGAAGTAATGCAAGCATTGAAATATTTTATTTGCTGAAATATGTATAATACTTATCTAAAAATTAAACAAGTGTTTAATATTTCCTTTCATGTAACAGCAGCAGCAAGAGATGGCAAGTGTTCGAAAGTCTCTTCAGTCCATGTTATTCTGATGACTCTTTGAAGGAAGAACTTGAACCTAAGTAATATGATACAATTACAACATTAGCTAAGAGGCATGTAATTCTTTTAGAGTGGTTTAAAAATTCTAGTTTAAAATACATCGTGTTAAATGTTAGCTTAAGTGCAAGACCCTTCCTTCTGTTAACCTTCAGATAAAGCTGAGCAGTTATGTGAGTCCAGATCTTTAATAGTAATAGTGAATTTTTCTCTTTATCACTTGTTAATTAACTTTTAGCAATAAAGATGATTTAATTTCAGCTTTTGGCTTCTGTGTATTTGTATTAGTCCCAAAAGCTAGAAAGCACAAGTATAAAAGGTTACATTGTTTTTCTTTAAGGAAAAATATACAAAACTATGTTCTATGTACATTCCACTGTATATACTGAAGTTACACAGCCAATTCTAATGAAAATGCAGTTTTAAAAGAAAATCTATTCTATTGACTTACATAATTTATTAAAAGCCACCCAAGTTTGTGTTCTGAAATAAATAAAACTGCTAAAAACTATTAAGAAAACCAAACAAGATATATAACTATCAGTTTTAAGACATGGATTGGTGAATATGTCATTTCCATAAAGACATCAAAAAGCCATTTGATTGGGCTTGGTCCATAATTAAATGACACATGCCGTTAGTAATTATTAAGATCATATCATTAACATACCTAATTACTTATGGTTTAAATATTTCACATCTGTCTTTAATACCTAGTAAATATTTTGTTTGAAAATATTGTTTGTTTTGATATTCAGTAAATATATGAAGTTTGATTATATTCCTTTCCAAACTTGAATAGTTAACTTCATACCTGTCACTAAAAATTTGCATTTTTTAAAACAGAATAACATATGAAACACTGGGGTTTAGTAAATATTAAACTGTTTGAGCATTTGTTTAAAATATGTCAGCTAAACTTACTATCTTTTGCTGAAATTGCTTTCATTAAATCATTCAAAATGAAAAATATCCCCATTAGGAGGAGAAGATTGATTTTCTCCTGTTTTTTTCATGTTTTAAACTTTAATTTTTACCCCATGACCCACCTTTACCTTAGTTTTAAGGTGTTCCAAGTTTTAAAAAGCAAGTCCATACTGACTCTCTTTTTTTTAAACTATGATAACTTATATAGGAAGAAATTAATTATCTAATATTAAGGAGCCAGTTTCTAAATTTTGTAAAGGACTTCTTTTAAGCCAAAATTTATGCTGGAATCTAAATCTTTTTTTTTTTTTTTTTAAAGATTTTACTTATTTATTTGACAGAGGGTACACAAGCAGGGGGAGCAGGGGAGGGAGAAGCAGGCTTCCCGCCAAGCAGGGAGCCCAATGTGGGCCTAAATCCCTGGACCCTGGGATCATGACCTGAGCCGAAGGCAGCCACTTAACAACTGAGCCACCCAGTCACCCTTGGTATCTAAATCTTAAGTACCATTCAAACACCTAAAAAAGTCCTATTTGAGTTTGAGTAAAAGTTAGAAACAAAATAAGCACTCCAGAGTGGTTTCTGTGTACTTAATTCACGTATTTTTTCCTTTCAAGGAATATCAACTTCCACTATTTTTTCAATATGCCTTTTTATTGCTTAATATATAGTATGTGTTCATTACTCCTTTATTTTTTTGATTATTTCATCATGTGCCTTATGGTCTACAGAACTGTTGGGCAAAATTAAAAATAAGGTAAGATGGGGAGTCTGAGTCACAATGAGCAACATAAACTTTTAAGTGAGAGTGGAAAGAAAAGATCAGTACATTATCTATTTAGTGATGGGATGACTGATAATTACATTATCCCCCTTTCCTCATGAGTCATCTATTTGAGGTAACTTTGGTTGTTACTGGAAAGGGAAGATATTTTTGCCATGTTGTCATAAATTACTAATTTTCTTTTTTCTTTTTAGAGATTTATTAGAGAGAGTGAGTGAGAGAGAGAGAGAGAGAGGATGAGGTGGTGGGGGTGGAGGGAGAAAGAGTATAGGGAGAAGGAGAAGCAGGCTTCCACCTGAGCAGGGAACCTGGTGACTAGGGGCTGATTCCAGGACTCTGGGATCATGACCTGAGCAGAAGGCAGACGCTTAACTGACTGAGCCACCCAGGAGCCCCATAAATCACTAATTTTCTTATATCAACCTTGCTTTAGCTACTTTATGTTTCATAAAAGGGGATCTTTAATGTCCACTTTTTTTATGACAATGAAATTTTAACTTAGAATATCAAGGAATGATGTATAAAAATTCATTTGCCTTTCTGAACTGGTAAGACAAATTCCTCTTACTAAAAAAATTATAGAAAATTCTGGTAGCCCCTTTAAATTCTAGTTGCAAGCAAGTATTGCCTTTTATACAATAGTAATTATAACTTGAAAAACTGCTAATTAAAAAATACCATTTCTTATAACATCATTTGTTTCAGTAACTACAGTATTACAATCCATGCACTTATGCAGTATTATGAACTTGTCAAATTTTTGCAATTGAAGTAAGCATCACCCTTAAGGTGGCTAAAATCCTTAAGCCCTGAATTTTTATGTAATCCTTTAGCAATGAAAACCCCGAGTATCTGACAAAGACTTTTGAGACAGAGACTGATCTTTGGAACGACAGTGGTTTACCTTCTTGTCCTCAGAAAATTGAAATATCTTTCTTTGATTTTGTTTCTAAGTTATAGATTGTAATACTCTGATAATACCTGTGATCAAAATGTTGATACACAATGAGGACTTCACAACTGAAATAAACAATGGAATCTATAAGACTTAGTGTTTTATATTCAAATATAACCTTATTTATTGTATACTAGCCTCCTGCAAAGGGGAATTTCCTTCACTCATAGGTTCCCCTAACTGCTTCTCTTTTCCTTGGGCTATTAGTCAATATGCTTGTGAACCTGTTCAGGTGCTTCATGATATGAAGTCTTGAAGATATTTAGATGAAGGTGTCTTGAAATTTGCAGGCACAAAGCACTAAAGTACATCATCATATCAAATGAAGAAGCAACCTTTGGAAGCAAAAAAAAAAAAAAAAAAAGAAATGTATTACGGTCTATTTTTCTGTTCCCTCTTCCCACCCCCCCTGGATCTCACACCTTAATCTAAAATTCCTCAGTGGAAATACTATAATTTCAAGTACTCTCATATATTTCATATTTGGACCTCACTATAATCCTCTGGAACATGCAATGTATTTCACAGTTATAAGAACTGAGGCTCAGAGTGGTAAAACTCCTAGACAAAAATACAAAAGATGGAAGGTAACAAAATTGGTCTTCTGACTCCACATTCTTTAAATTTTCTGCTGTGCAACAAAGCCTAAATTTTCTATTAGAAGGGTTGCCAGTCACTATTAATAAAATCATTCCATCATATACATTTCTTTTTCCTTTGAGATGGTTGTAAGAAAGTAAAGGCCTGGAAAAGACCTTAGTTGAGGGGAGGCATATACAAAATTGTGTTGAATACAAAATTAAAGAGGAAGGCACACTCTAAAAAGTCTACCAAAGACCAGGAGGAAATGCTTCCTTTCAGAGAGGGAGACTCACAGCTCTACCAGTGGAGAGGGAATTCTCACCTATGAGGGGAAAATCTCCCATATCATTTACCTGAAAAGCTCTATCTGATCCTTTTCTCTCTGAAGTAAGAAGATTTTGTGTAAGGATGCTAGAGGGCACATATGTTTTGTTTGGTCCACATAAGTGTTTTCTGTTGTTGTTTTAAATTGTGGTCCACATAGTGTTTTAGAGAAAAATTCAATTTGTCTTCCTCACCATAATCTCTACCACTGGCATAAACCAGGCCAACTCACTCACTATAAGATAGATGCTCAAATTTTTAATACCTGGTGTTTTAATTATGTTAAACATAATTAAATTGATAACATATATACAAGCTTAGTAAAAGTAACCCTACATTGAATTTTTGGATATTTTGAATAATCACCCTATTTCTTAGATTGTTTTGGAGCCCTAAAAATATGTATACTGGATAGAAAATTAAAGGAAATTATTCTGATTTTTAGACTTTAGATTTTAGATTTACTTTTTTAGACTTTAGATTTTAACACTTTTTAGACTATTTCCTGAAAAACTTCCAAGGATTAAGATTTATATCTCACCACCATTTGAAGAATGAAAGACTTCTGAATTGCCATGAATGGATATTAAGCTATTTACTCCAGAAAAAAGAATAATACTATAGAACCTAGTATAAAGAATCATCAGAGGTACTCCTGTGGTCTGTGTGCAGAACAGATATATTTCAAGGCCTGAGTCTAACAAATAGGGTACATTATTCAAACTATCAAGAGATTCACTGAAGGATTTCTTTTAGCACACTTTAATATGTATTTATCTATCACTAACAATTAGGTGCGAGGTCCAAAGGTAGGGGAAAACAGAGCAAAGTTGTTCAGAACCATCATTAACCGAAGACCATAAATATAATGTCTCAATTTAAAAAAATTGAATAATGCTCCCTTTATCCATGTTTGTGATTAAGGTGTTGCCAACAGTGATTTTCTCCTCCTCAGAGCTAGAGCTCTCTTAAGTGCATAATTTTGTGTTTTATAATCATTTTGAGTAGAAACTAATATATATATTATCTGTACCACTTTCTTAAGCTGGACATATTCAATGAGAATTTAACCTTTGCTTGATGAGTCATCATTATTGATATAAGTTATGCACTGTCCTCAAGAGCCAAACAGATATATCAGGTTGCTTACTTCTAGAACAAAATGGTCCCAGAATCCTATAATTGCTAGTACTGTTTTTTTTCTGTTTTGTTTCTTAAATATTAGCCAACAGTTCTTGATACAATAAAGGCCCACATATTCTAACACTAATTCCATCTAATTCACCTGTTACCTGCTATAAGCTCAAAAAATTCTAATAAGCTTGATTAAATAAAAGTCAGACACCTAAAAAAGTATCTGCCGTTCTCTGGGCAGAGTGAAGTGATTTTTGACTTCTTTGTATTGTTTTTGGTGGGGGAGAAAGATCTATTTTTAAGGTACACAATTGGGTTTTTAAGGATTTAAGTTGTTGAAAGCCTAATCTCCAGATAATCTGGGCCATTTCTTTTTTTTTTTTTTTTTTTTTTTTTTTTTTTAAAGATTTTATTTATTTATTTGTCAGAGACAGAGGGAGAGAGGGCGAGCGAGCACAGGCAGACAGAGAGGCAGGCAGAGGCAGAGGGAGAAGCAGGCTCCCT